AAAAAAAAAAAAAAAAAATTTAAATAAGATCCCCGAAACACAAGCAATGATCCTAAAAGTACACTAGTGGGATTGTTTAAGGTTTAAAAGCTTCGCACAGCAAAAGAAACAATAAAGTGATACAACAACTCTCATAATGGGAAAATACATTTCCTCAGATGAGGAACTGATAATGAGATTATACAGGGAACTCAAGTAGTTTACCCAAAGGGGGGAAAAAAATCAATCCAATTATAAGATGGGCAAATGAGCTGAATAGACAACTCTTCAAGGAAGACATATGAATAGCCAAAGAGGATATGAAAGAAATAGCCAATACCCCTCATTGTAAGGGGAATGCAGATCAAAACCACAATGAGATACCACCTAAGACCAGTCATAATGACTAAGATAAAAAAATAAATAAATAAAGATTAAGTGCTGGCCAGAGTGTGGTGAAAGGGCAACTCTCCTACACTGCTGGTGGGAATGTAAATTGGTCCAGCCCCTGTGGAGAACAATTTGGAGATTTCTCAAAGATTTATACATAGAACTTCCATAAAATCCTGCAATCTCACTCCTTGGTATCTACCCAAAGGACAGAAGAATTCTTAACTGGAAAAGTACTTGCACATCAATGTTTATTGCAGCATTATTCACAATTGCCAAGCCATGGAACCAACCCAAATGCCCACAAACAGATGAGTGGATAGAAAAACTGTGGCACATAAACGCTATGGAATACTGCTCAGCCATACAAAACAAGACCCTGGCTTTTGACAGAAAGTAGATGAATATGGAAAATTTACTGCTGAGTCAAGCAAGCCAAGCTATGAAGGAGAGATATTGTATGTCACCACTTAACATATACCAAGTGTCTGCAGTCTGTGGCTGAAATTGAATGACTAAAGGTTATAGGAACTTAGTAAATGGTTGTGAATACCAGATACAGTGTGGGAAGAAGGCAGGTGAAGGAGTAGAGTCTGAGCAAAGACATTAAGGAGAAAAATAGAGAGGCAAGTCATTCATGGGACAAAGAAATGGATTAATATCTATTGAGGATAACTTTATAGTATTATCAACTGGACTGGTGAGAAATGTACACATGTTGGAATATTCTCTTTGTAAACTAAGTAACATGTGATTGAATGTATAAAAGAAGAAATAAAAAGAAATAAAAATTTTAAAAAAATAAAAGGAATTAGTATCAATTATTCATAATATCTTCCTGAAAATGGAGGAACACTTCCCATTTTATTTTATAAGGCCAATGTTACTCTATTATTAAATATGCCATTGCAAAAACAGGGCAGCAGGCCGATATCCCTTCTAAGCATAGGTGTAAAACTCCCCCCAAAAATTAACAAATGAAATCCAACAATCTATTAAAATAATTATATTAAATTATTAGGTGTGATTTATTCCAGGTATTCAAGACTGACTTAACACTGGAAAATCAGTCAACGCACTGTATCAAATTGATGTGCTAGAAAAGAAAAATCATATCCTATCAATAGATGCAGAAAATGCATTTGATAAAAGCCAATACAAATAGAGGAAAAATAATCAGCAAGTTAGCGATAAAAAAAATTTCTCAATATTACAAAGAATATATGCAAAATAATTTATAGCTGAATAATTTCCTCTTAAAATCAGAATAGAGTCAAGGATTTTTACTTTCACCACTGTTGCTCAACATAGGATTGAATGTCCTAGCCAGCAAAATAATGCAAGAAAGAGAAAGAAAAGGCGTACGAATTTTTTAAAAAGAGAAATAAAACTGTCTCTATTTGCAAATGGCATGGACTAATTCCCACATAGAAAATCTAAGGATTAAAAAACAAACAAAACTCTCCCACATCTAACAAATAAGGTTCAGTAAAATTGTAGTTTATAAGATTAACATATAAAAATTTATATTTCTTTTTTAAAGAATTATTTTATTGAACTTTATTTATTTAATTTTATTTGACCAGAGAGGGACAGTGTGTGTATGTGTGTGTGTGTGTGTGTGTGTGTGTGTGTGTGTGAGAGAGAGAGAGAGAGAGAGAGAGAGAGAGAGAGAGAGAAAGAAAGAAAGTAAGCCACCAGGTACAGGAATTGAACCACAGTCAGCCATGTAGGAGTCCAGAGCCCTTAACCACTAGACCACCTTTCGGCCACCAAAATTGATGATATTTCTATACGTTAAGAAAGAAGTTAACTAAAATAGAAATCCATTTTTAATTATTCAGAAAATGAGATACTTACATATAAGTCTAACAAAACTTGTAAAGACTTTTGTATGTTAAAAGTTAAATTTGCTAATGGAAAAAAATTGAAAAAATAATAATAAACAAATGGAAAGATGAACTGTGTTCAATGGATTGTAAGACAACATAGGAAAGATGTCAAATGTCTTCTAACTAATCAATAGATTTGATGGAATTTCTGTTAAAATCCGAGCAATAATTTCTGTGGACATTGAGTAGCTTATTCTAACATACATGGAAAGGCACAAGTTCTAGGACTGGCACAAATGAACCTTTCAAAATAAGGCTAGAAAAGGAAGAATAACTACCTGATATTAAAGCTTGTTATAGACTTTCAGTAATTAAGTCTGGAGTATTGGTGGAGGAATAGTTATATAAATAATTAAGCATAATAAAGAACCCAGAAATAGCCCTGCACAAGAACACATTACTGAGTTTTGACAAAAGTACTTAAAGCAGAAGTACAGCCTTTCCAACAGATGGTTATGGAGGGGAAAGAAAAAACACCCTCTTAACCGTGATAACATGGCCATAAATGTATAATGTAAAACTTACTGAAAAACATAGAAGGAAATCTTCAGGGTCTAGGGATAGGTGAAGAGATATACTTGATACTAAAAGTCTCATAAAAAATGATAAATTGGATTTCATTAATTTTTTTTTAAATTTACTCTGCATAAGACCCTTTTAAGGAAATTTAAAAACAAGTTATGGAGTGAGAAAAACATTTATAAGCCACATATGTGAAAAAAGACATGTTTCTAGAACATATAAAGAGCTCTCAATATTCAATAATAAAAATAAAAAAAAAAAACAAAGAAACCAGTTAGAAACTGGGCAAAAATAAAAGAGAAACATTTCACCAAAGAAAGTATACACCACAAATAAAAACTCACAACTATGAGAACAAGTAAAATTAAAAATAAAATAGGGACAGAACAAAATGCTGGCAAGGATGTGGAGAAATTGGACTACTCATATATGGATATTGGGAATAAGAAAATGGTACAGCCGCACTGAAAAATAGTTTGACACGCTGTTATCAGTCAAAACACACATTTACCATATGACCCAGCAACTATATTCTTGTTTCAAAAATGTAAATTCATAGTAAAATTAAAAATAAAATAGGGACAGAACAAAATGCTGGCAAGGATGTGGAGAAATTGGACTACTCATATATGGATATTGGGAATAAGAAAATGGTACAGCCGCACTGAAAAATAGTTTGACACGCTGTTATCAGTCAAAACACACATTTACCATATGACCCAGCAACTATATTCTTGTTTCAAAAACGTAAATTCATATTCACAAAAAAAACCTGTACCTGACTGTTCACAGAGCTTTTATTCATAATAGACAGAAACAGGAAACAATGAGATGTCCTACAATGGATAAATGGATATATACCATGTAGTTCTTGCCTATATGGTATATAGTGTGGAGTAACACTCAACAAAAAAAGAAAAGAAAAAGAAAGCCTGACTTATGCTACGATTTGAACAAATATTAAGGGAATTATGCTCAGTGAAAAAAGTCAATCTCCAAAGAAATGGTTCCATGTATAGAATATTTTTGTAATGAATAATGGAATTAGTAGAAATGGATAACAGATGAGTGGTTCTCATGGATTATGGACCATGAAGGGGAGAGAGTGGGTGAAACAAGAAAAGAATAGCAGTAGAGATAATCCTGTGATTATTGAATGATCCTACATCTTGATTATGGTGATAATTTCACAAATTTACACATGTGGTAAGATACAGAGCCAGCCCATGGCATGGCAGTTAGGGCAGTTGGATCCTACGTGGTCAACTTTATGGTTCAAGTCCCACAAACAGTGGCTTGAAAAATACACTGGCAAAAGATACAATTAAAGAGCATGTTCCTTCAGAAAAGACAATAAATGGCCCAATTAGTGCTTCTGATGATGAAATTTGTAAGCTACAGAGTACTCCAGGAGAAGAAAAGATTAATACCTTAAAAGAAGAACACACTCAAGAAGCAGCAGTTCTGAATCATGCTTCATAAACGGAAGAAGTTCCTATTTAATAAGTTCTTTTACATTACATTTACAATAGGGCTTGTACAAGCTTGCCAAAGATAGAATAAGGATTTGCCCATCTTTACATCACACTTTCAGTTCTTCCATTTGGAATTCAGAAAGGGGAGGTATCTGAAGAAATTATGTGTTAAACACACTTTGACACCTACTGTGGTATAAAGTATATCATCAGATGTTCCTTGAGAACAGTATACATAACATTTAAATAGTATATGTAACATTCAAAAAAAGTTGCTGGCTGTAGAAGAAAAGAAAAGTGAAAAGAAAGGAAAGGGAAGGGAGGGGAAGGGAAGGGAAGGGAAGGGAAGGGAAAGGGAGAAGGGAGAGG